GAGAACATTGTAGGCAAACCATGCTTATCTCGGTTTGAGATGACTCGAGATAGAATCGAAGAACATGCTTTGCTTAGCTTAGTCTTGGCTCTGAATATGCAAAGCTTTTGTTTGAAACAGAGACATTCATGTTGGTACTCTGTATAGTATTAAACAAGTATCAACCACTGGCTAAACATTGTAGCAGACTGAATTTCTAACCTGAGCAGTTGTAAAGCCAGAAACTGTTTGGTTGGTGTCAGAATCTGTTGAATTGGTTCTTAACTAGACGCTCTTATGCTCTGTTTTACAGTTGATGTGGAACTAAAATAAGATGATTTTATGAGATTTTCCGGTTACCTCAAAAGTTCAAAACGTCTGTTGGGCTGGTAATAAACTATGAAGAATCTCTGCATTATAACCGGCAAAAACTTCCATCAAATATTTAAAATCAAATATTCAAAGTGACATCCTGTGTTCCTCCCCGGTTGGAGGCAGGGCAATGAATAGTTTCTTGAATGGTCCTTCCCTGAATCTGCAAAAAAAAAAAAAAAACAGATCTCATGATCTATCATATAAAATAATTTCCAAAGGATCTTGAAAAAGAACAGTGAAACGAAATAGTTTGTTGGTCAGTTCATCCTTAATGCTTACCCGCATTCGCTTCCTGCTTCTTTCTGTCTCTACTAAACAGCGTCTACGCACTTCACCGTGTTCAGTCTCGTTAACAATATTGTCTTCGTCGGTTTCACAAACATGTGGAAGAGTGGTTGGACTACCAAGTCGGTTCTCAGCTGTTGAACAGTCCTCCAAGAGTCGTCTACCCCATCTCTTTGGATTGGATCTTGACTTAATCACCACCGCACAACTCACAACCACACTTATATTTTCCAAGATCAGATTTTTTACCTGAGCTTTTCACACCAGAGTCATTTGAAGCTTTCTCCACTCACTTTACTACCAATAATCCCCACAAGAACACGTCCCATTCTTAAAATGATGAAACCGAGTCGAATCTCTTAAAACAATCTGACGTCCCACAACTTTTGAGATCAGTTTAATCGCTGTGTGACAATCTTCACAAACCCGAAGATTCTTCATAACTGTGACTGTACTTCCTTCAACTGTATTAACCAACCCAAACGCAATAGCAAGCCTCTCACTGTGATTCCACAACATCTCTTCTTTCTGTTCGTCTTCCACATCATGTAAAGCAGATCTATAATCAGGAACATAGCCAAGTTCCTTCAACTTGTCTCTCAGAAACTCTAACTTCTCATATGCTCTCAAGCAATGTGGTCGATCACCAGAGAAAAACTCGTGCTTTTTCCCTCTAAGCACAACCCAACTGCTCCCAGGTTTCTTCATGATCCCCTTCTGCTTCATCTTAACCCTCAATTTCGATACATTCGACCATCTACCAGCAGAAGCATATATGTTTGACAACAAGACATAAACAGCACTTGATTTAGAGTCCAGCTTAAAAATGGCAGCAGCAGCCTTTTCGGCTCTGTCTACATCGGAGTGCATCCTACAAGCACTAAGTAAAGCCAACCAAACCATTTCATTAGGTTCCACAAGCATGCTTTCAATAAGCTCCTCTGCTTCTTGCAATTCCCCGCATCTTCCCAAGATATCTACCATGCAAGTGTAGTGTTGAATCTTTCTACCGATATGATGTGGTCTGCTTGACATGTAATCAAACAATTTTCTTCCTTTCTGTAAAAAGCCGCAATGGCTACAAGCAGAGAGCAAGCCAGTGAAAGTGATCTCATCTGGATCTATGTTTAACCGAATCATTTGACCAAATATGACAAACGCCCACTTTCCACGCCCGTGCTGCGCGCAGCCAACAATTATGGAATTCCACGACACAATGCTCTTCATCAAGATTTCTGTGAACACAGAAACAGCATCGTTTGCACTTCCACATTCACTGTACACGACAACAAGAGAATTACCCACAAAGGCATCAGTTCCTAGACCAAGTTTCACTGCAACGCCATGCATCTCCTTACCCCAATCCAATGATCCCAAAGCAGAGCAAGAGTTTAATCCGCTAGCAAATGTTGATTGATTTGGTAATATACCGTTTCTTAACATCTCGGAGAAAATACTTAACGCATCTTCATGCTTTTTGTTAAGACTATACCCTGACAATAGAGCAGTCCACACAGCAACTTGTTCATGAACCTTCTCGTCAAACACCTTCCGAGAATCCTCTGTTCTTTTGCAGTTTGCATAAAATGTTATGAGCGAAGCAGATACATATTCCTCATATAAATACCCCGACTTGATGATGAATCCATGAACTTGTGTACCCATATGAAACGCGGGAGCATTTGCACAGGCTGTGACTACACAAGTGAATGTTCTTGAAGTCGATTTTATGCAACAATCCAACATGTTCTTGAACAAAACGAGAGCTTCTCCACTCCTCTCATTCTGGTCTAACCCACAGATCATTGTCGTCCACGATATCACATTCTTCCGAGGCATCTCTCTAAACAACTTCAAGGCACCGTCTACTTTACCAAACTGTAAATACCCATGAACCATCGCGTTCCACGCAGCAATATCTTTCACAGGCATTTGATAAAACAATCTCTCCGCTTGATCAACCTTACCCGACTTAAAACAACCATTCACCATCGCTGTCCATGTAACCACACTTCTCTCAGGCATTTCATCGAACAGCTTCACTGCAGTAACCATATCCCCACACTCCACACACCCACTGATCATCGAATTCCATGAGACAACATCTCTCACAGGCATTTCGTCGAACAGATTCAACGCATCCACCAATCTGTAGTTCCTCGTGTACCCCGAAATCATCTTTGTGTAAAGACTCACGTGAGGAGATGGAACCTGATTGAAAATCTCTCGAGCCTCGTCGAGTCTTCGATTCCATAAATGATCACATATCAGAACTTCGCGATTCCGGAGCTCAGTAGCAACTGAGAAACTTCTGTAGCATTTCCCATGGAAAACGTGAGCATCGAAGCACGAGAAGGAGAATGCTCGTCGAAAAATGGCGCCAATCCCCATTCCTATAACATTCACTTCTGTGAATAACAAACAATAGTTTCGCTTCACTTTATTATAGTTGAAGATTGACTTCGGCTTTGGGGTCTGTGCTAAATTCGGTTAATCTGACAAAATTGGTCTATAAATTAAAGATTCACTTTCAGTATTTTACTTTAAAAAACTGAAATTGCATCGAATGTCGACAAGATTCTGAATTAATCAGCTTAAAACTCGGAACCAAACCTGTAAAATCATCCAGTCACTCTTCAAAACGCAAAAAGTAATCAAATTCGAAATTGTCAACGACAAATAAAAAGGCTTTTTTCACTTGTCTTTCTGGTTACGCAACCTAGCAAGCGTGTTGGTATTCGACAATGTGTAGCTGAGAAGTTCTTCTTCGTTGTTTGAGACAGTGTGAGCAATCTCTGCACAGTAAAGTCCTGAGAAACCAAAGCAAAACACACAAGGAATTCCCGTTCTCCAGGCTCATTGGATTGTGCACGGACGATCTCCTTACCCATATCTTGTAGCAAACGGTGCATCACAAGAGTATCCTCTCTTACATGTATCAGGGACTTATCAACGAGGTTTCTAAGCCCGATATTAACATCCAAATCACTATCTGCTAGTAGTAGCTTGATGTCATTGAATTTCTCACCATTAAAGAGACATGCAATGTGACGAAATAATGCTTCATCTTTTTTGTTATTTAACCCATCGTAGCTTACTCTCAGTGGTTTCTCAACTTTTCCATTCAGCCTCTCACGTAGACTAGGGAGCATATCCATCCAGTCCTCTTTGTCCCTACCCCTTAGAAACGAACCCAAAACATTAAGACCCAAAGGCAGGTTACCGGCACGCAATGCAACTTCAGAATCAAGCTCCATAAAACCATCAGGTGGATAGTTCTGCCAGAAAGCTGATCGACAAAACATCTCAAGAGCAAGCTCTTCAGATGGGAGACAAACCTCGTAAATACGATCAATCCTATGGGCCCTTAAAAAATGCTTATCTTTTGTAACCACAATGATTCTGCTCCCACATCCAAACCAATGAGTTTGTCCCGCCAAGGCATCTAACACCCCATGATCATCCAAGTCATCAATAAAGATAAAAACTTTCTGGTGCTTTAGCCTCTCTTCTATTGCACCCAAGTGATCTATCTTTACGTCTTTTTTCCCCAAAATTTCAGAAAGAAAATTTCTTTGCAAATGCAACTTCATGTTGTAGTTGTACGGATTGCCTTTCTTATAAATTTCCATACTCTTAGATAAGAAAGCTCTGTCTATGAAAATGCTACCTTGGAAGTGTCGAGAAAGTCGGTTAAACAGAGCTCTTGTAATCGTAGTCTTGCCAATTCCTGAGGAGCCCCATAAACCAACCATCATCACTTCCTTAGATTCCAACTGCAACAGTACACTCATATTTGCGATATGTTCTTCGATGCCGACAAAGTCCTCGGAATCCTTTGATGGAGTTAAATGTAGTTTATCCAAAACATCATTGGCAATTTCTTCAATCATTTTTGCTTCATTACCCCTGACAATGAGAAAGATAATTTCACACGCATGAAACAACATTTAGTAAAAAATTAAGATATATAAGCAAAAAAAATGATTCATAAAACTGTACCAGGTTACAGAATGATATCCGAGGATATTAGCTACATCCGTCAAAGCTTCCCTCCATTGAATTTTCACTTCCTCCGTTTTGTTAAGGCATGTCTCTTGAAAGATCTTTCCAAAGTCACCGGTTTGTTTCCTCACATGGGAAGGATCCAAACCATAGAAAACCGGTATCACCATCTGACCAAGCTCTTCCTTGCATTTTACGATCTCCAGCAACTCGTTAAGGCACCAGCTTGAAGAGGCGTAGTTTCTAGTGAACACAAACCATGGCAATCCTTGATTCTTTAATAGCCTGCTTAAGCTCAGGATCTAGTGATCGGCTTCTCTTGATCTCACTGTCTTTGAAAGCAATGATCAATTTCCGATCAAGCTCCTTTAGAAAGTGGCTGAGGAAAGTTACACGAACGTCTTCTCCGCTGAAGCTCGGGAAGACATCATATACCCAATTGCG